ACGGTTGGTTGGAAAGCTCCTATATCTCTGCCTCACTCGGCCAGATATCAATTATGCAGTTAGTGTTGTCAGCCAGTACATGCATTCCCCTAGAATTACTCATCTTCTTGCGGCAGAGAGAATATTAGTGTACTTTAAGAAATACCCAGGTAGAAGTATACTGTTCAAGAACAATAATTACATGAAGGTGGAGGTCTATACAAATGCCGATTGGGCTAGGAGTGCTGATGACAGGAGGTCTACCTTTGGAGGAGTAAGAAATAGTGTTGTTTCCCGTTCTAGTGCTGAAGCTGAATACAACAGGTCAATGGCTAACGGAGTGGCTGAAATCCTATGGCTGAGATCACTACTTGAAGAGTTGGGTATTGATTATGAGAAGCCCTTGATGYTGTATTGTGATAATCAGACGGCTATTAATATAGCCCACAATCCGGTGCAGCATGACAAAACTAAACACATTGAAGTTGATCGACATTTTGTGCGAGAGAGGGTCTCATCACAAGAAGTGTCTCCCGTATATCACATCCAACATGAAGCTCGCAGAAGGCAGTACCAAGGAAGAAGTTAGAGGCAGACCTATCCAAGTTGGGAATGATAAATATCTATTCCCAACTTGAGGGGGAGTGTAGAGAACACTGATGTGGGCCTCACAGCTGTGGTCTCCACTGTGTTTGTAGGACAGTATGTGTAATTATTTGTTTCAGTCATGTTAGTGTTAGTTGGTGGTCAGTTTGTTATTTCAGTTGTTATTTTTTTCAGTTTTTTATTTGCTTTATTTATCATGTAAGTACTAAGGGCAGATCTATCCTTTTCCTCTATGTACTGAACATAACCTATAAATACTAAGAGAGTGGTGGCGGCAGGTCAATAAGAATATGTCCCTTCTTTCAAACCTTTGTGTTCTCCAGTTCTTCTCCTCTCTTTTCTTTCTTTCTCTTTTACTTTTCTTCTACCTTTCCTAATCTGAAATCTATTAGGGTTCAAGGCTGATTGTAGTCTTGATCGCCTATTACCCAAATTAAGTTAAACTCAACACATGGTCGACACACAACATACACAGTTGCTTCTTGGGGCAATGCTAAGGGAGCTGGTGAACCTGCATTTAGCAAATATTACCTATGGACTTTCTGGGTGGGCCTCACCTCTCAAAGCCAAAAGCCACATTCTGAAAGCCCTCCCTAATTGGGCACTTAGAAAGCCATGGACGGCTGATAAATATCCCTCTTGTGGCCTACAGCCTACTTTGGTATTTGAATGTGCGTTAATGCTTGATCTAGATATATCTTTTATTTCCCTATTCATGGATGTAATGCGCATTTATTTTTAATAATTGATCTTGCTGAAAATCAAATAAGCTTCTAAAATCATTGTGGTTCACACATAAAAGTTGACATTAGCATCATTACCATGATATGTTTTCAGTTCTATATATATTCCAGTGGGTATTTTTGCATGCATCCCAAATTGCATAATTTCGTAGTAATGACTGCACACTGCACAGCTGCATCAGTAAAGAATAGAGTATCACTTATTGATCAGAAAAAAAGAAAGAAAGAGTGTCACCAGAATCATTGTAAACTCCGATATAGTTAGGTCAACACTTTAAGAAATGAGCTTTTATTGGCATTTAGATGATAACCCTATTTTGAGTTATTTGTAATTCTAGGCGGGTTGCTGTCTTTAAATACCCTATTTATTCTGATTTCTGTATTTGATAGGGAAAGTATACATTTTGAGTGATTTTAGTTTCTAGGCAGGCTGCTGCCTTTAAATACCCTATTTATTCTGATGATGTGGAAAATATCCAGTACAAAAATGGTGAAAACTTATTTTGATTGGGAAGATATGAGACTTTTGTATGGTACAATTTTGGTTTATAAATGAGTAACATTCCAGATTTTCCTGGTGTATGCTTGGGGGAAGTTTCACTAATTGTTACTAAATAGGCTCAAAACATTGTATACTTGTTAATAAAGCTGGACATGCAATAATGGTTTCTGACTACCTGGCTGAGATGGTTGTAGATAACTGCATATTGTGGTATTCATGTCATCCACTTTTTGTAGGTTATTCCACGGCAGCTTTGTGACAATGCTGGCTTTGATGCAACTGATGTGCTGAACAAACTCAGACAGAAACATGCTCTTCCATCTGGTTAGTTTCTACTTCCTGTTTTCAGGATGCTTAAAATCAACATCATCTCAGCAAAGCTTCATAACAAATATATGGGGTTGGCTACATGAGCATTGAATAGGAGCAACCTGGAAGTTCAAATCACACTGATCAGATGTCTGTAACGTTCCAGTTTTGTTTGTTTTTTATGGATGCAATTGTAACAGTGCTTTTGAACATCATCAAATTTGCTATGGTTGGCTATATGTAAGACTATAATTGTTACTTGTGTAGATGTCAAATGATGCTTACAATACTTTTCGCAGGTGAAGGTGCACATTATGGGGTAGATATCAACACTGGTGGAATTGCGGATTCATTTGATAACTTCGTCTGGGAGCCCGCAGTCGTGAAGGTATTCCCATTTGATTGTTTTATTTATTGATAGTTACTTAAGTTTCTCTATGGCAGTTATTTTCTTTTTCCTTTATCGATTATTGCCTCTCCTCTTGTTATGACCATATACTTCATCTATTGCAGATAAATGCTATAAATGCTGCAACTGAGGCAGCTTGCCTTATTCTAAGTGTTGATGAAACTGTGAAAAACCCCAAGGTAATGTAAACTGTCTTACGAAGAAAAACATCTTAGTTTTGAAGAATTTGTTTTTAGTTTTCTATCCCCAAGATGTTTATCAGTTTTTACATCATAACCTTAACCAATGCAACCAAAATCCTTACTATCAAGATTGCTGCTTCTTTTTTTGGAGGGAGTTCTTTCATAAAAAGGCCTCTATGTTGGGGTTTCTCAAGTATAGATTGAATGTCAGCTGCCCAGCTGTTAATGCTTTCATTAATGTCGATAATATGCAGTCAGAGAGTGCACAAGGAGAGGCTGCTGCAAGTGCAATGGGTGGTCGAGGGCATGGTGGAGCAGCTTTCCGTGGTCGTGGACGAGGTATGCGCAGGCGATGAACATGACACTGTTAAAATGTTTTCAAGGTTGCAAAAGGGGCTTTTGCAAGGCAAATGCTGCTTCTTTGGAAGTTGTTATTTAGTTGAGTGTGTTCTTAAGTTCCTACTTGATCTTGATCCTGGTTCTATAAGCCATGCGAGTGCTAGATGGTGAGGCACTTCAGAAAACATTTGTTAAACTAGGTCTAAGGCGTTTGTTCCTCAAAGCTTTATCATACGAAGCTACGGTGCTGGTTATTTGAGTGAGTTTTGTAACTCGACCACTGGTGGGGGCAATATCAATATATGTTTTGTAGTTAGAAAGCTTGGAAAATGTACTGATGAGAGGGAATTATAACCGGCGGTTGAGTTTTTGTTTTTTGTTTTTAACCTTCCTGCTGCGCTAGTCATTTGGATTTTGAAAATTTCTTTTGTCGTTTACGAATACTATGCTGTGATTGTTTCACTCATTTGTCAATTAAAGAACAGATGCCTGAAAGTTCATTCCAATTTCCAACAGAGCAATCGTGTCGGCTCTTTGTAGGCCATTCCATTGGATCTGAATGCTCATAGCCAACATATTTTTTGAGGGGGAGTAACAACCAATGCTAACCAGACCGGGGCCACCGGGTATATAATTGGAAAGGGAGAGGTTCAATTCGAGCAAAGATATATATATACTATATACAGTATATTTTATAATTTTTAATATAATTAAGTATGGTAGATGGATGATAAATTTTTAGCTTAAATGTAAAAACCTCCCCTGCATTTTCTGACAATTATTTAAACCTCCCCCTAGTTTTGGTCTTCATAAAAACCTCCCTTGTAGTTTTGAAAAAATGTTAAAAATATTACATTAGTTTTTACAAAATATCAGATTTACCCTTTAAACTGTCTTTCAAATGTAAATTTACTTAAATACCTCCCCTTAGTTAAGGGTTGTCTCTTGCCGTTGTATGATGTGCGTTCCTAATCTCTTCTTAGTAGGGCTGTCAATGGTACCTGAAACCTGATCTGACATCCGATCTAATTATCTTGAATTCGGATTATGTATATATGTAATCGGACCGGGCAATCTACATCTGATTAATAATCGGATCAGATATAGATTTGATTCCATCCGATTTGATTAAAATCTGAATCCGATTAAATATAACATTTATTAATTTTAATATATAAGTTTTATATAATTATATTTAAAATTATAAAAATATATTTTATATATTATATTATATGTGAATTTATGTATATAATACATTTAGTATGTTATACTTATATTAATTTATTATATTATAAAGGTTAAAAATAAATAAATTTTCAATAATTCTGAAATTTTAGAAAATTTGTAGCAGTCATTAAATCCGAATTCAATCTGATTAAAGCCCTACTTCTTAGGCATGCTTGGTCCTTTTCTCCCTAACGAAGAACTTAAATCAGGTGCCAAATCTGATGGACCTCATGGAGAACCCATTCTGGCACACTATCCTAATCTATGATTCAGAGAAAAAGGTTGTGTTTAAATGTTTGGTCCTTTTCTCCCTAACGAAGAGCTTGAATCAGGTGCCAAATCTGATGGACCTCATGGAGAACCCATTCTGACACGCTACCGGCTATCCTACTCTATGATTCAGAGAAAAAGGTTGTGTTTAAGACTCAGAATGTATAACTTATATAATTAAGCTGTTTTCAATTTTTGTTTTGTTCGGATTGTTGTGTTGAAAGTGTTAGATTGCTGTTCATTGGGAACTTTGGGATAACTGGAGTACGTGACTACTAGCTCATTGTTCCACGTAGAAAATGGTTGACAAGGAGTTTCAATCTCACCAGCCATTTCACTCTTAAGGATGCCGTTATCCTTGTTCTATGGACTAGGTAAGTATCCAATTACTGTGTTTCTGTAAAAAGTGGTTGGGACGAATATGAAATTGCTTTCGAAATGCGAACACAGCACCTCGTCATCGGAAGCAAGATGTTTGGTGGAATCCAAGACATCAATGACGAAAACATCATAGGCATCAACTGATTTATATATTTTTTGTTTTCAATCATAGGCATCAACTTAGAGTCAGGCGTGAGGATTAAAACTGCTCCAAGAAGGAGAAAAATACTTGAAAACTGAAAAGACATGTGAGACGGATGAAAATGTATACCATGAATTTTCTGGATGACTCCAGTTCTTATGGATCACACCCAAATGAATCCCAAAGAGCCTCCAGCTGTCCATGGAAATGGTCGTTGAAAAATGTGACCATAGCTACAGAGTTTAGAGAGAAATACTTGAGACCCACTTATAGGCATATGCATTTCGAATGAAACTATTGGGTTGTCTGCAAAAGCAAAGAAATTGAAATGGGACTGCACTGATGTTGAGAGTTCGGCTTCAGTCAGTGCAAAACTCGTTCAAGCAACTTTTACTTTTTTGCATTGAGAATAACTCGGTATTTGTATATTTTATTTCATGGGGAGATATTCTCAATGCAAGACTGCAAAAGGCTATTAGAAATTGGAACAGTGTAGGTACAGGTTTGCCCTGATGGAAGTCGATCTCTGATGTTGAGGGAGTTGGCAGCAATGTGATCACTCTGTACCTTGCCATTTGTTGTCCTATCATGGGTAGACGAAGAGCAAGAGTTAGATCTTTTCCTATAGATGGGGAGTACAGAGATGGATAAGGAGAGACTTTGGATAAAGATGGCATTGGGCCAATACTCCTCATCTGTCATGATAAAAATCTGTCAAAAGTTGATGGATTTCTTAAAGTCCATCAGGCCCTAAAACAGAATTAAGTAGGGAGAATGACGGTTCAGCCCAGTGTCAGAATTCTTATGTCCAATGATGTCAATTTACGGGCGGACATTGATATATAGAGTGGGGGTATTTGATATTTTGAATTTTTATAGGCTTGCAGTGGAATTAAAAAATCTGCAATGGACCTGTCTGTACTTTTTCGAATTAACTAACTCTATTCTATAAAGTATGTTAGGCAGAGTGAAGTACGAAGGGCGTTATTGTAATTTTAACTTCTCTTTTACTGAAAAGTTAACAGAAGGGAGGTAATTGTATATTTCTTCAAAACTATAAGGGAAGTTTTTATTAGGGTCAAAGCCTAGGGGAAATTTATATGATTGTCAGAAAACCCAGAGAAGGTTTTTTACATTTACCCTAAATTCTTTAATTTTTAAAGCAATTGATAAGGGTTCAAGCCTCTTAATTTATATGTTTTTAAAATACGTGTAATAAAGTAATATATATATATATATATATATATATAAATACATTAAATAACACAAGTAAAGAGGTGGAAAAATGGTAATTAAAAATAGGATAAAATATAAAAGCCTCCCCTAAAGTTTCTAACAATCATAAAAACTTCCCCTACAGTTTTGAAAAATCCTGTAATTATCTTCCTTTCATCATTGTCTTAGTTCATTATCAAGAAAAAAAATATTAGTCTCCATAATAGAGATGTTGAAGTTACAAAATTATCCTTACTTATTAGAGAATTTTTCAATATAATCAAAATGTCAGATTTGCCCTTTTAGACTTCACTCAATCATAATGAGTTTACAAAATTAAATTACTTTACACTTTAATTTGACCTAGGGATTTTTTTAGTTAAAAAGTAATTTTTTTTGGATTATTTTACTAAATTTCTATATGAATTAATTGACATAAGGGTAAAATGGTTATTTTCAAAACAAATTAATACATTAGGCCAACGTTTTGTTTATGGGACAACGAGGAAGAGAGGTAACTGTAAGAATTTTCAAAACTACAATGGAGGGGAGGATTTTATAATTTACCCTAAAAAATATATAAAAATAAAAGTTCATAGGTTCAAATCTTGTCAAACAGGTATTAAAATTTCACTTATTTAATGGTTCAGTCGGCCTTATGAATTCATTGGTTTTCTGAATAAACTGACTAATCAACTGGTTTTCACCGGATTTTTAACAAATACGGTTATTGGGATATAATCGAACTGACCAGGGCTCAGGGTCACTATTTAACCAATCCGACCGGCCAGTTCAGCCTGGTTTCCTAAACGCTGCTAACAATTCCACCGCCCAATGAATCTCTCTCTTTAACCGCATATGTTTTTGCTACTGCGATGGAATTTCTACCAAAACCATCCATCCATGCTAACCCATGCGATGCAATAGAATTTTCGAAAAAGTATGGATCTGCCCAATGCAGATTTCTGATTTACACCGCAGGGCTATAAACATTCAAATGGACCTATAGCCACACTATGCATCCACGTTCCGAGCTGGCACCTATCCCAACCGTGGATTGAACTTACAAATTTTGACATTGGGGGTATCGGTCATTCTCCCTAGAATTTTTCCTTAATTCATTATATGCATCAAATTTTATCTTTATTTGATGCAGATGGGGATGCTTCCGACGAATGACGGGGACGTTACATTTTATCTCTCGACTCTCTGTCATTTTCCTCTTTTACCTCTCCACCGTACTTATATATTGTTAATGGCCATTTACTAGAACACCCTTTATAGTTTTACAGATTTATTATACTTATCATTTAGTTTGTGTTTTACTAAAGTACCCTTTATAGTTTGTAACCTATTTATTTAATTGGCATTTCATTAAGAACTATTTGTTTTGTCATCCAGAAATAGTAACATGATCACCTAAGTATATGTTTGGCATTGGTGTTGCAGATACAACACCGATTTCTCATCAGTGCTGCTGATGTATGGGTTGGAAGCACCATTTTTTTGAGAAAACAGAGTCTTTTTGGAATCGTTGCTGCCAGGTAGGACGTTTCCTGGAGCAACAACAACCTTTTCTATCTGGTACCAATGCTCCAGGAAACGTTTTCAGCACTGGTACCCATTATCCAGTGCTACATCACTGCCACCTCACATCCCTGTTGGCAGTAATGAGTTGCAGCTCCAAGAAACGCCAAATTCGGCGTTGCTCCAAGCCATTCCTTCCCGATTTTCAAGGCATGGTTTGGAACACCGTTTTTTATGGTAAAAGGTTCCAAACACCCGTATTCTGGAGCATTGTTTTTTCTGATGTGGCACCGTTTTCTGGAGCAACGGCAACGATGCCAAACAGACGCTAAAGTAACTGGAGAAAATGTTTAAGGGCTTGGACCCATGGTTGTTTATTCCAAAAGTACCCCCTAAACTGAGTGAAAAATGTTCAAGGGTATGGATCCATCATCCATGGTTGTTTATTCCAAAAGCACTCATAACACTTTTTGCATAAAAACAAAATTGACCAAATAGAAAAAAATATAGTGGTTGTCCATGTTTTATTAGGGGCAAAAATTGTATTTTTATTTTTAGTTTCTTTTGATTAAATTTATTTAAATAAATATTAAAACTGTCATTTTCTATTTTCATCTAATAGAAGGTCGATTAAGTAAATTGATTGCAAACTGTAAGGGGTGTTTTAATAAAAAACAAACTATAAAATAGGTTTGAATACATTAATGAAACTATAGAGGGTGTTTGCAAGTGTGTTGACTGTAGCCAGGCCC